TAAAACCTTCAAATTTAATAATATAAAAGATAAACATATACTTTAGCCCTTATTTTGGAGAGAAATGACGAAAGATTGGCAAATGTAGGGGGTGCGAAGGCGAGCGGTCGTCCCCTCAACTTTAAATTTTTTTTTAAATTAGTATATAATTTTTTTTTTGTGTTTTTAAAATTTTTTAAATATTATATTTATCATGTAAATTTATAAATTATTATTTAACTCTTTATAATCTTTCATATTTAATAATTCAAAATTATAGCCACCATTTTAAATGTGAAAAGAGTATTATAACTTAATTAAATGTTTTGTAAAAGATAAAAATATTATAATTTAAATAAATAAATTTCTTACATATTAAATAATATAAGAATTGAGACTCTTCATTAAATACAAATTCAAAAGTCTTTCCCCTTTAAAATTTTGAATTGTTTTAGGATTTTTTTTTTATTTTTTTATTTATTTTAAAAAATAATTTAATTAACAAAAACTTTAGTTAATAAAAATATTTGACTCTTTATTTAATTAATTATTTAAAAAATAATTATTTTTAATAAAAATAAATAAATTTTAATTATTAAAATTAAAAAAATTTATATAAATATAATATATAAAATTTTTATATAAATAAACCTCAATTCATATTATGATTATAATACTTATATTATTACAATCTTATAATTGTAATATTTCATGACATTGCAAAGGCCGTTGCAACTATTGGAATGCGCTTTCTGTTTATTGAGCCATACTCTATTTAATTTTTCTTTTAGTAACATCAAATCAGAGTCCCACCATTTATTAAGGATTAAATATTGTAAGACAATGAAGTTTATTGTGGTTAGAAAAATGCACCCCCAAATTTAGTGGGACATTACTCAGATTGTCTTATTCGAAACCACATCAACAATCAACAACATGCCTTAAGGACCATGGCTAGCCCATAGGGTTACATCCGGTATTGTTTGAAGATGCTGGCAGCCCCACTTATTTAAGGCATTAGCCGCCCCTTTTTATTTTTCTACTTTTCGTTTCTTTTTCTTTCTTCCTTCTTCTTCTTCTTCTTCTTTTTTTTT